GGAGGAGGAGGAGGAGGAGGAGGAGGGGAGCAGAGGGCGAAATTAGGTCAACATTTGGCTTTGGCTGATTTGATCTTCAGACATAAAAGACATTCTTGCTGCAGAAACGTTATTATCGCTTCACTCTTTGACTTATTAGGTCAAAAAATAAAAAGCATGAAATCTTCTGCAGCTCAGCCATCTTTTGCATTTGTTGCCCCAAAACTGGTCAAACGTAGTAAAAAAAAACAAAAAACAAACTAAAAATAAAACACAGCGTTCTGCTCAACATTCTGCTGAATTGTGAGGCGCCAAGTGTAAAATTAAAATGTTAAAAATTCACTAACATATCTTAATTATTTAGATCACTGTTCTCACATTTAGCTCATTTTTAATAAATACTGTTTTTATGAACACATTTTGAATTTAGATTTTAAATATTACCTTTAGCAGCATTAGCTGCATTGTTGATGTTTGTCGCAGGATGATGACATCATCCTGATTATCTGACGCTACCTTCTGCTAACACTTCTAACTCTGCTGAATATTTAAAATCTAAATTTTAAATGAAACAATCTGGGTGGTCCCTGTGGTCCAGCAGTGTGAAGTGCAGCTCAGACACCAGCCAGAACTGCAAGTTTGATGTCTTGTGGGGAAGCTTTAGCTGCATTGGAGCTAGCGGTTGCTATTGTCTCAGGATGATGATGTCATAACGTGAGCCGAGCACCAGCAGCAAAGGCTGCGTTCCATTCAGAAATACTTAAATGTGAACTTCAACATTTAAGGTTGAACTTTTACATTTAGATTTAATACTTAATACTTAAATATATGGTTAACATTCAAATTTAAAATTTATTTAAAAAAAAAGCTAAATGTAAGAACAGTGAGTTAAATAATTAAATGTTAGTGGGAAAATTTTAACACTCAAAATGTGAGCAAAATAATGAAAAATATGTTAGTTAAGTTTTTTAACATTTAATTTTACACCTGGCTCCTCATACTGAGTTTCTGTTAAACACATGAAGTAAAAAAAAACCTTTGGGTTTCCACGAACAGCACAGCTGATGGCTGCAGTGTAGCCTGCGACCACGCTTCGGTCCACCAGAGGAGCTATGAATTTGGGGGAACGACTCATGTCCGTCTCTTTGAAGGCTTTAGGATTATACATCAGGCCTAAACAGAAAAAAAAAGAAATTCACTCTGCAGCCTTTGAAGCAATGCAAATACAGAAAAATAAACTTTTTCAGGACAGAAACCTCATTTCTCATCCTTGCAGCATCTCCAAGATTCTCCTGCATCTTTTAGTCTTTTAAAACTAAAAAAAATGAAAGCTTAGGTTTAGAGCTTCTTTATCTCTCCTCCTCAGAGGGAGGAGCTGAGATCTGAGGAAGTCCTCATAAATCAAAGTTTTTTTTCTTTTTACTAAGTGTGCTTTTTGTTTCATTTATAAATGTTAAAACAAATACAGATGTGACTCTAAAACGAACTGCTTTAAAAAAGTGTTGTTCATGTTTCAGCTTAAAAAAATAAAGCTTTTATAATCAAATTCTTGAGCCAGAGATGTTTTAAAGCCAACCATCACAGAGCGTTCGCACTGAAAGGCATTTCTGCTTTAAAATATTCACACAAGATGGAAAAACAAACAGCAGTGTGCCCCTGGAGTTTGCACCGAAAACAAAAAGAGGAATCTCCAAATCAAGAAAAGAATCGAGACGATTAACTCTGGTTTTTCCTTTTTTTAATAATATTACCTCAAATTTAAATGAGAGGAAATAAAATAATCCAATGTAAAACAAGAAGAAGCAAAAAAAAAAKCATCCTCACAGGTGTCACGTATCAGTCAGAGAGGAAACGATGAACTCTGGTTTAACTTGATACGAAACGCAAACAAACACAAAACGGTCGGCGAATATAAAAACTCAGGGATAARGATAGGTTTTGTGACGATTACTAACAGAAGATCTGAGGCTAAAACCTGGGACGGAAAAGGACTTCATTAAGTTTCAGGTCACTTAAACATAAAGTTTTATAAAAAGAAAACAGTTTGTTCTTTGAAGGAGCAGATTATTCTCGCTCAGACTCTGGATGCTGGGAAGCATCACTGCCAGCTGCCGATGAAGAGGAAAAACAGAGGAAATGATGCTGCAGGTAAACTAAAGTTGTCCTGTTAAACATCTGAACAGAACCAACTGGTTTTTCACTTTAAACCAGATTAATCTCTGGGGATTACCTCTAACTCTTTTATTTATTTTACAGCTGCTGCCACCTGTGAACGTCTCAGATTAATCATGGAGGAACTTGGTTAAACCGAGCCGACGTGTTCTGGTCCAGAGGTTTCCTCACCTGTTTTCAGAACCACYGCGGTGTTCTTGCTGATTCCAGGGTCGTTGCTCAGGCCACAGATGTTTTCGCTGAACACCTGAAAGGAGTACTCGTTCCCCATGATCAGGTCTGACACGGTGCAGCTGGGCCGGCGGTTGTGCTCGTGCACCGTGAACCACTCCTGGGGGCGGGACGGACGACACACGAGACAAACTTTAACGAGACGTTCAGGTTAAGGCATCTTCATCATCATCACTGTAATGGAAATAATACTTTATGCTTTATGCCAGTAATTCCTGACATACTTTAGTTTTTCATGAGATGCTGTTTATCAGCAGACAGAATGATTAAAGTCAGAACAAGATCTGCTAACAATAATTATTCTTAGATATCACTTGTGTTTATCTTTGTGTTTTCTTTCACTCAGCATTTCCTTAGAATGAAATCTTGCTTTATTAAGATGACATAATGGTGTTTGTTAAACAGTATATATGCAGTGTTGTATAAAGTACCACAAAGTGATACTTGAGTACAAGTATCTTACCATGAAAATACTTTGGTAAAAGTTCAAGTCTCCTTTAGGAATATTACTTGAGTAAAAGTCTTAAAGTATCTGATATTTTTAGTATTAAAAATCAAAGTAACGATTTAAAATGAGCAGTTAGATTTTCTGTAAGGACATTTATTAGG